TCTGGCATCATTACGTGGCTTCTTCTCTATTCCTTTAAATGCCCGAAAGGCAAACAAAGAACAGCCTCAACCTACAACAAAATGGGTCAAGGCCAAGAATACAAGACCAGGACTGAACCACAAGTGGAGATTGAGGTTTCAATCCTTGATTCTCTCACAATTCAAGGTTAATGGCTATTTATTATAGTAGTTGTATGGTGAATTGCAGGAAAGAGGGGAGATTTTCTTCTTCTACAGGCCTAGGGTTAATAAAGAAGAAGTTCATGGTGCAGATGATGTGCAACGCCTGTACGTTGTGCTGCGCCCAGAGAGCGGTGAGAAGCCAGTTGAAGAAAAGCAAGACTCCCATTCTGGCAAGGAAGGTGCCAAAATTGCAAATCAGACTCACGCACCCAAGAGTGGGTCAGAGGGTGGACAGTGTAGCCAGGTGAGTCGAACCTACATTCTTTCTCAACCACTCATCAACAACTCTTTTGAGTCGAGGTATACGTGCCTTTAAAAAGTTTAATGTGGGATTTGGGACATGATAGAAAGATGTACTTTGCTATTTAAAGGTTTGAACTATGAAACTTTGAATCTTGAAGTTAGTACTTAGTATGTACCAGCTCGCGACCAAGTTTTTATTAGTGTACTATTGTACGAAGTTAATATTGAGAAGGAGGCATTATTGCGATTCATTATCAAGGGAAAGAAGAGCCTTCCAGATCCAAGAAAGAAGTCTCAACCCTATTGGGGTTTTGTAGAAATGGTCACCACCAAGATAGAAGACGTTAAAACTGCTCTTCAAGGAGGTACTTATCAATTGCTTCATGTTACTAATTTTTGGTTTTGTTATTAAATCAAATGCATAAATTAAGTTACTTTAATTTCTAGCGTCATTTTTTTTCATGTATTTGTACATTTCTGGCAGAGGAATATGATACCAAGACATGAGGTCATAGACACAACACAAGCCTCCAGCAAGAGCACTGGGAGAAGGCATTTACCGCATCTTGAGGCACAATGAGGGCAAGAAAAAACACACTCATTTGATCTACAAGCTAGAATTCCCAAAGGAAGAAGATAAAAACGAGCCCCAAGAATCACTCAACATCGAACATGAAGGATCGTTCTTGATGCAAGTAAAGAATCCAGAGCAGCATGGCAATTCACAATTCAGGGGAGTTCAAAATAAGGGAAAGGCAGTATTCCCTGCACGTCTGCAAGGACAGTTTGGACAAAAGCGATACTGTTCAGCTAATCCACCAGACTTCTTGAACTATGAAGGGTGTGAGTTCTTGCTCATTGCAGCCTTAGATGATATAGAAGAAGAGCTGGGTTTGGAACTTGGGACAGAGGGGAAAGCAGATCCTTTTTGTTCAGATTTGCTCAAAACATTTGGGGAAACTGCATCTGTTACTCCCCTTCTTAAAGGTACTTGGATTGAATCTTTTTCTTGCAAAGAATTAAGATGATGTGAATGCATCTTTCTGTTGTAAATTTCCAATTATCTGGACTCTAGAAGTGGTATGCTATTCTGTTTTAGCTTGGTGCTAGGAAAAATATGCATCTTTCGGTGCTGGCTCGATGTAATTACTTCTAGCTAGATATGATGTTTCCTTTAGCTTAGATGGTGGCCCTCTCTACGTGTAGGGCCGTAGATTTTCTGCACATTTTTAGTTCTAGGTGTTGGAGTTTGAAACACTTTGATATCCAATTCCGATATAAATTATGTGTTTTTTTTTTAATAATTTAAAAGGTTTAAGGTTACTTATGTGTTTTTTTTTTTTTTTTTGAACCATTCAGCATTTGAAAACCCACTACACCATTGATTAATCCAGTTTCAAGTCGGGCAATACCCAACGAGAAGTAAAATTATCTTTCACGAGTTTTGATGAAATTACATTTTCAAGTCTTGAAATCAAAATCTTTAGATAAATTACAAGAATTCCAACTAATTCATCCACCACTCGTGGGTTAAGGTTAGTTATGTTGAATTAAAAGAATTAGTATTAGTTTCCCAGCAGTGGCATTTTGAAAGTTTAAGACATAATTTTACATGAGATTTTTTTTTTATTATTAACAAGAAATTTTCTTTTTAGTTTGGACAGACAAAATAAAATAAACTTGATCCTAAACCGTGTTTCGCATGGTTTATTTATATTTCTTTTTAAATATTTACTAATTATAAATTTTTGTAATTATAATTAGATAATAATACATATTTATCTCAACTTTCTTTAAAAACACTATTTTTTAAAAATATTATTTTTTAAAAAAATTTAAAATACTACAGTTAAATTTAATATTTTATTTATATAAATAATGTATATTAATTTTTAGATTACGTTAACATCTCTAGTCATCTGATAAAGAAATTTATATTTTTAACACATATTTTTTTTTAACAATTGGTAATTATTTACAGGGTTAATTGGGGAATAAGAGAAAGGAATTCCGTGGAGTTCGAATGTGCAACCCATTGAAGGTGAACAACCCTAACTCAGATCCAATGCCACTGAATCGAAGTAGGCCGTTCATTTTTAACACATATTTAATAATGTTAAATTTTGTTTAATTAATAAATTAATTGAATATATTTAATTAATCTTAAATTTTACATGGATGATCTATAAACATAAAATATTAAATCTAATAGTTGATTTTTAAAAATATTTATTAGAGTAGTGGTGTTTGAAATTAGGATTTTAATTTTTTTTATAAAACTCAAAATTGATATGTATTATTTTTTAATAGTTAACAATAAATATATTTTAGAGTATTTTTTTATAATTAATAATTTTAAATATATGAATTTATAAAAAAATCTGAATGGCATATACGAAAAAACTTTAAATGAATAAATTTAAACAATTTAATTAATTTTTAAAAATAAAACTAAATTTTTATAATTTATTACTATATATATTAATAAATTAAAAAATACTAAAGGGGTGAGCTCTCTCAAGCCGCCAATTGGAGTATTTTATAACTAAATTTTTAATTGGTCCCTGCGTTTAGTGTACATTAGAATCATTTTAGTTTTTTAATTTTTTATTATTATAATTTTAACATCTAAGCCTTTTAAAAGTTTAAGAAGTATTAAAAATATTTATGTGAAAACATTAAAGACACACTTCTTAACAATGTCATCTCGAAACACTTTTGGGTTATTCACTCCACCTTTCAATACCTTTTTTTGGGTTTTATTCACTCCACTCCACCTTTTATTACTTTCTTTTGAGTTTTATCTCTTAACTTACTCCTCATGTGTTATCATTATATATTTTACCTTCTACTCACTTTAGTTTTCTCTTCTAATATTAATAATTTTTTTTGTTATTATTCTTTGGTTAAATATCTTTTTTGATCCTTTACTATTGAAAAAAACCTCTTTTTAATCCTTATATTGAAAAAATCCTTTTTTTAGTCTCTAAATTTTAAAATTTGACTCCTTTTTGGTTCTTTTGTTAAATTTTTACTGATGTGCCACGTTAATTAATGGAATTAATTGATTATTTTTTATATAAATAATATTATAAATTATATGGAAATTATGTGGACATTCATCTGAATATTTTAATGCCACATGTAAAAATAAAAAATTTTACTTCTTAATTCATGAATAAAAAGAATTTAAACGAAATTAATTTTAATTTCATCTTCTTCTTTCTCCTTATCCTTATCCTCCTTCTCATTCTCATCCTCAACATCCACCATCCTCTTCAAGTCTTCATCATCCTAAGTTCTTTGCTGAACCCAGTTGCTAGGTTCCTTGAGGAACCCCTTTTTGGGTCAAGGAACCCAGTTTCTGGGTTCTTCAAAGAACCCAATTGCTGGGTTCTTCAAAGAACCCAATTGCTGGGTTCTGCGAGGAACCTATTTCTAGATTCCTCAAAGAACCCTATTTATGGGTTCCCTGCGAAACCCAAATCTGGGTTCCTTGAGGAACCCGTTTCTAGGTCCCTTGAGGAACCCGTTTCTAGGTCCTCAAAGAACTCAGTTTTTGGCTTCTCAACGGAACCCAAATCTAGTTTTCTCCGAATCTCCTTTTTGTTTCATTTTTTTTTTTTAATTTTGAATATATCTATCTTCCATAAATGAGCTGAATGAAACCAAAATTTCATATTCAAATGTATTCGATATTTGGGTTTGATATATGAGTTTGAAATTGCAGGTAATATGTTGATGTTGTTGAGTTCATGTTGCTATGAGTATAGTGAAGGATCTATTTTGTAGAGGAGAAATTAATCTTTAAAGTATTAATAAATTATTTTAATTAATAATTAATTTTTATTTTTAGCAATAAAAATATTCTTATGAATTGTGGATTATATCTTGACCAATCTCATATATAAAAGATTGATTATAAACGAAAACAAGAATTTTGAAAGAAGGAAGATGATAACTCGAGAGGGAACTGGAAACACTGATTAGGGTTTGTTCTTGCACAGGGAGTCATTAAATCGAGTCATTGAGTCCACGAAAGCATCTTTACAGGTGGAATGCCATGTCGAATGTTGCTGTTAAGATAATGTGTCACGCAAGCAAAAATTAATGGAGAGACCAAAAAGGGGTTAGATTTTAAAATTTATGGACTAAAAAGAAATTTTCTCAATACAAAGACCGAAAAAAAGGTTTTTTTTTCAATAGTAGAGGAACCAAAAATGATAGTTAACCTGATTGGTGTGAAAAGAGGATTAATTTTTAATTTATATTTATATCAGATCTTAATAATTTTTTTTATCAATTTTGAGTTTATACTAGTCGTCTCACATTATACTCACAAAATGTTTTAAAGCCAAACAAATTATTATAATAATTAAATTTTTCACAAATATTTTAATATTTTAGACCACACAAATCAACTTAATTTATTAAATCAAAATTACCAATTAATAGAAGTCTATATAAATAGAAAATTTCAAACACTAAAGGAAGAAGATAAAAACGAGCCCCAAGAATCACTCAACATCGAGCACGAAGGATCGTTCCTGATCGATACAAGTAAAGAATTGATCGATGCAAGGATCCAGAGCAGCATGGCGATTCACAATTCAGGGGAGTTCAAAATAAGCGAAAGGTTGTATTCCCCGCACACCTGCAAGGACAGTTTGGACAAAAGCACTACTGTCCAGCTGATCCACCAGACTTCTTGAACTATGAAGGTGTGACTCTGTCAGTACATAGCAGCCTCAGATTACATAGAAGAGGAGTTGGGTTTGGAACTTGATCAGACAGAAGGGGAAGCAGATCCTTCTTGTTTAGACTTGCTCAAAACTTTTGGGGAAAATGCATGTCACTCCCCTTCGTAAAGTACTTGGGATTAAATCTTCTATTGGCCAAGAAGAAGATGTGCATGCATCCTTTTTGTTGTAAATTTTCCATTATGTGGACTCTAAAAACTAAGGTATACTATTCTGTTTTAGTTTGGTACTGGCTTGGTGTAATGACTTCTAGCTAGATATGACGTTTGCTTTAGATTGGATGATGGCCCTCTCCATGTGCGGGGCTGTAGATTTTCTGCACATTTTTAGTTCTAGGTGTAGGAGTTTGTAACACTTATATGTAATATTGATGTAAATTATATTTATTATTATTATATATTTAAAAGGTTTAAGGTTACTTATGCTAAATTTAAAGAATTAAAATTAGCTAGGATGGGACACTTGAC